AAGTTTACCGTGATCCCTGGCGAGTTCCACCCTAGTTTTCCTTAAGGCTAAGGGAGCTAACCCAGAGATGTGCTGTCAGGGCTGGGTGACTGATATTTAAGCCTCCGAGAGGGTAAAGGAACTAGCAGCTCTCGGTTACTGGTTTATTCCTCCTTCTGGCTTTTTCCTGGCCTGTGAGCCAAGTCTCAGGAAGACAGTGCTGGGTTAAATTTCCACCAAGCTTTTGATATTAAGGGTTTTTTTTTTTTTAAACTTAATGAAAACATGTTTTTGAGTATTCTTTTCTATGGGCAGCCTCACCTTAATTTTTAACATTTTAAAGAAAAATAAAAGAAAGCCCTTAAGGCCAAAGGACTAAATGTGTACAAACCATAGTGTGCCTGTCTGTCACCTCCTCGAAAGAGTGATATAAGGCCAGCTCCCAGATTTCAGGACACTCCCATTGTGGGTAGCTTGGTGTGGGATTCAGGAACTAACTTGGGGAGTTAGAAGCTTATCAAGGGTCAAGATAGATACCAGGTCCAGGAGTTTGCCATCAAACCCCCTGCCTTTCAGTTAGGTGGCCATGAAGTCACAGCAGGGGATGCTGATGGGGGAGACAGAAGTTTCAAGGAGAAGACACATCCAGGGGACTGGATCAGCTGCGGATCCAGAGTGTCATTTACGAAGAAAAGCCATGATGAGTGTTTTTCTTTTTATCAGATAAACATTTTTTTAATTTATTTATTAAAGATTTCTGTCTCTTCCCTGCCACCGCCTCCCGTTTCCCTCCCCCTTCCCCAATCAAGTCCCCCTCCTTCTGATGTCCTTCGTCAGTACTTGTCTAGACATATGGATATTCATGCACACACACAGGATTAACAAAACTCTTTTGACATATTTTTTCTCATTAATTAAATAGTACAATTAAATGAAAAATGGCCAGCTTTTATTTTGATACTTACCATCAATACCTTTGGGTATCTTGAATTGCTGCCTTATTTACCCTGGATCCTCGTGCTCATTTTGAGCACCTAAGTCACATTTTTGAATGGGCCTTTCTTTCCTTTGTGTTCCTGTGGTACTCAGTGCACAGACAGAACTTGTGTCACTGTTCAGTGAAGTCCGAATGTTTAGATGGCAGTCTTGTTTCCTGTACCCCCTGCACTGAGACCTAACACACATCATTGTCTTGAGACTGTGGCAAACTGTTCCTTGTACTCTTGCAGCTTCCTGGCCCCATAAAGCCACACCCTAAACCTGTGCTCTGTGAGGCTTTACAGACCTGACCCTGCCATCTCAGGCCATCTCAGATTGAGTTTTCTGGTTTGTACATTATCTGAAGATTAAGAAGTGATGAATCTTAGCCTTTTGTCTTAGTCTCGGTGTGAAAGTGAAAACAGCAGCCAAACAGCAACTGTATTAAAGTGTAACTCATCCATCATGGGTAGAGAACAGAACATCTCCAAACTGAAGTCCAGGAAGCTCTGAAATGCTTGCTCATCCTTCGTCAGCTTGAGGGAATGAGTCAGCAGTTTAAGGCTGGCACCTCTGCTGGAACTGAGACACCCGTGCCTGCCCGGGAGTTAGAGATGTGAGCAGCTGGAGTGTGGTCGTTTGCTGTTAGGTTCGAGAAGTGTTGGCTGGTGCCTGGTGGATGTTAGTAGCAATGCACGGTCACCACGTAGTTAAGGTGTTAGGTAAAAGGATTTCTGGCCGCTTAGTTCGGGACACCCCTGGGCACTGCCCCGCTGTAAGGAGGACAGAGGTCAAGGTGGCTTTGTTGTTGCCATCACTGTAGTGAGGGTGTTTACAGTCGTGGCTCTTCTCTGACTCAGCCGCTTGTGTCGTGTCGTAGCTCCCAGAGGCCTGAGCTGGGATCCTTTGGGCCTGTTGTGGTTCTGGAAAAGTCATCTAAGTGCTTCATTCTGTGAGGTCTGATCAGTGCACTTCCAGTCATGGGTGGAACGTTCGGAAGGTGTCCACGGTCTGGGTTTGGGTTGTATTAAAAATGTCAAGTCGTTCAGCAGCGAGTACCTGTAGCCAGACCAAGTTCCGTCTTCTGTTCTTGGATTGTGGCAGAGCGTAGTCTAGACAGAATTGTGGCATTTAGACTGAGGCCGAATAGGCGAAGAGTCCGCCGCCCGCAGTCGTCCAAGTGGCTGGCGTGTGGACAGTGGAGGCTCTGGGCTCTGCGGGTGAGTGGCAGGTGGGAAGGGCTGTGACAGGAGAGTGGCATGGGCAAGTGGAAGTGATCTGAGAGAGCAGAGGGTTGGCGAGTGACCCGAGAGCCCACCAGCCACGTGACTTTTAAAAACATGCTAAGAAACTGGGTATGACTTTCAGAAACTTGATGAGTTCTAAGGTGTTCAGCAGGGAAGATCAGGCAGAGACAAAATCACTTGAGTGGTGTGAGCTTTGTTAATGTCAGCCCTTCATAAAAAGCTTGCTGGGAGACAGGCCTGTGCTCAGTCCCTTTCCCTTGTCATCCCACAGAAATATCATGACCTCTCAAGGAGGGGCTGAGCTCTAGCTCGTTAATCAGCTTGTCCGAGCTGCCATGCAGCTGTGGAAGAGCTGGGATTTGATCCCAGTTAATCTAAGATTCTCAGTCCCAAGCTGTTAGTGCTGAGACACTCAGGAATCTTTAAACTGAGTCGATCACAACTGTTTTTTTATACCTTTTAGATTTTGAATTTTAATTTGTGTGTGTGGGCATCTGTGTAAGTGTATACACACAAGTGTGTAGGTGATCTCAGAGGCCAGGAAAAGGCATTATACCCTGAAGCTAGAGTTACAGGCAGTTGTGAGCTGCCCAGAGTGGGTGGTGGAATCTAAATTCCTGCCTTCTGCAAGAAATAGCAAGAGCACTTAACCTCTGAACCATTTCTCCAGGCCCTGGCATTATTTTTTTAAATGAAGAGCACATCAGAGTACTTTGTATAGGTGTAAGGGTTAAATGCTAATATATGAAGGTTTTCATATTTTAATTTTATGTAACTACATTGGCACACATGAAAACTTGGGAGGTGTGTAGAAGGATAAGCATTTGTAGAAATAGGACTTGAGTGCACCAGTTAGAGCTGGAGAGAAGTGTAGAGCTCAATGGTAAGGCCAAGGCACCGGGACTCAGCATAGAATTGTATATGTGCGTCTGGCAGGGAGAAGTGTGAGTGAGGAGTGGGTCCCGGAGTTCCATGGGAACAGTGAAATTCCTAATGTAAGCTGTGCTTACTCTACCAATAGGGACCCTGGCCTTAGTGGGTCCTCATGTTTATTCCAGCTCCTGATGCTTGCTGCTCTCAGCTGGGATTCCTAGCACTTGGGGCTGGCATTCTACCAGTCTGAATGCTCATGTCCTTCCTGAGGGACGTGAACCTATGATGTGTAATCTGTGACTGAAAGATGCCCGAGCAGAGGTGATAAACCAGATATGATTCTCTGAGTCTGAAGTAAGCTGTGATCCACTGTACCTCAGAGAAGCAGTGGCCACGAGGCCAGAGGTGGGGGTGGCGTTTCATGGGAGTTACGTTGGGATCCAAAGAACCTTTAGGTTATGCTGTGCCGTTTGTCTTTCCAAGTCGGAAAGCCCTTGTGAGGTGAGACAAGGGCACGCATAGGACTTTGATGACATCGCACACTGATGACAACATCAGTCTCTAAGCTCTCACACTTTGACTTGGCTGTGTGGTGTTCACTAGAATGATCGTGGTAAGTGTAAGACTAACCCACTTTGAAGGTTTTTAGCCTGGGTGGCTGGAAAGCATGAGAGCATCATGGGGCGGTGGTAGCTATGATGATTGCCTTGGCCGGCAGGCTAGTGTGGGCAGCTGCCTTGAAGGAACTCCCACCTATAGGAGACAACAGGATTGGGGAAAGCTAGTCTCAGCTATCCCTAGCAGTTCTTAGTAATTCCTTGTTGCTAACGGAATCAAGAAGAACCATTTTAAGAAGAATCTAGAAGAATCTGACTGCTCCTTTTTTTGTGTGTGGTTTTTTTTTTTTTTTTTTGTAACTAGAACACCGGGGCTTTGAGGTGGAGTGAACTTGCATGGTTCTGGTTTCTCCTTTCTTGTCTTGTATGGCAGTTCTCCTTCACTAATCCCCAGAGTGGGGATCAGATGGTGAATTAGATGGCAGAGGAAATGAATGATGCAGAGAGGCTTATGGGTGTCATCTGTGGGGTGCACACTAGTGGGGGTGCACACAGGCCATGGGGACTGTATGAAAATGCTATCCCTTAGTCTCTTATTGTAGTTTCTTGTGTGTCTCAGGGTACATATATCAGAATTGTCATGCCAGATATAATAAGCATACATGGATTTGGGGTACCTCCTTTCTTTGAGTGCTGGTATTGTGCACATGCTCAAAAACTGTTTGAACACCACTTTATATTCAAATGGTTATACTTTGTCTTACATTGTAACATTTGAGGAAACCAAGGCTTTCTGCACAGGCTAAACCATGCTTTTGGTGATACCATGGCTTTTCCTGACTTTGGCCTCCCAGAGTGCAGCATGTGGAAAGTGAATTCTAAGATGTGTCCTGACACACGGGACCGCTTTTCCTGTGCTGCAGAGTGCACTTGACCTTGTGTTGATTGGAGCCTCTGGATGGGAAGCTAAGCCTGTGCCTAATCGCTCCTCACTGTGGGTGAACAGGGTGTCCATCCCAACGTGAGACCTGGCCATACCCATGAACTGTCTCCAAGTAGAGGGTGGGATTTGGACTGAAGGTTCTGGCCAGCCCTTGGCTCTTAGCTCAGTATTTTTCAAACATCTAGGAAGTCCTGGGCTTAGAAAGTTCTTACTCCTTAAGAGCCTTGCCTTAGAATTACTGTCATCAGCCCGCTTTGCTTGAAGTTTGTTGAATGAATCTAGATTGTCCCTCTGGAGGCTTTTGTCTCCATTCTGTGTTAGTAACAAGTACACATTTTACTTCATGCTGACAGTTTGCTGTTTAAAACACATCTCTCCCCCTCCCCGAATATGTTAAGTGACATCTTCCCTGTGTGTTTGCAGGTCGGTGACAGTTAGAAGCATGCTTTCCACTGCTCTCCCTGATCCCGTCTGCCACCCAGGATGTCTGTGAGTGAGAGCGCAGTGTTTGCCTATGAGTCCTCCGTGCACAGCACCAACGTCTTGCTCAGCCTCAATGACCAGCGGAGGAAGGACGTGCTGTGCGATGTCACTGTCGTGGTGGAGGGCCAGCGGTTCCGAGCCCACCGCTCGGTGCTGGCTGCGTGCAGCAGCTACTTCCACTCGAGAATCGTAGGCCAGCCTGATGCTGAGCTCACCATCACACTGCCTGAAGAGGTGAGGGGCCACAGCGCTGGCCGTCACAACCAACTCTTACCCAGCTACCTTCTGACTATGAACCGAGCACAAGCTCCAGTCTCCCTGAGGAGATGGGCATCTTGGGGAGCATTTCCACAGCAGCCCTTCTCTGGCTTTTGTTGTAGGAGTATTGACGTGTAAAGTTCTCCCTTTGGATGTTCATACTTGTTGGACTGTGGACTATGTGGATACAGTCTCCCCTGATAGATTGTAGCCATTTGGAAGGGTTCTGGCTTAGAGAGTACTGGCTGTGTGACTCTGTCCCATGACTGGACAGCCATGACAGATTTAGGGTGTGTGCATTCTCTCTCAAGACGTCTCCCATGAAAAGCAGGCACCCTGTACGTGTATTTCTCCCTGATATACTTTTTTTCTGAGATTGACTTTATTCTTTGGGAGGAAAGACATGGTCTGTTGTCTTGGCTGGCGAGACGGCTCAGCAGGTAGAGGCTTCTTGTTGGCCGCAGTTCAGTTCCCTGACTCACATAGTGGAAGGAGAGACAGAAGCCTGCAGGTTGTCCTCTGACGTCCACATGCTTGCTGGCACACACCCTCCCACATCCCCCACCCAGTAAACAAACAAACAAATTAATGCTAAACACTAAAATAGTTTAGTGTCGTCCTGGGAGAGCCCTGCCCTGTTTTCCATACACCTTCCCACCCCAGTCTGTGTAACTTCCGCTTGTGAATGCTAGGGTCTCTGCCATCTTCCTAGCTTCCGGGGGCCTGTCTCAGGTGAGGTGGGGCTGCTTGCACTGATTCTCCTGGCTCTGTTTATTGGCGTGTGCTTGGGCAGTTATTGCTCTTAGCATATTTTCACATCAGACCCAAAGGGTTTTAAGGAGACTAGGAGGAAGTGTGTAGAACTTCCGGTGTATGGCATAGTGTGTCATGTTCCCTGTTGGGTGTAATTGGATAATCTGAAAACTAACCCCTAGTGGGGCCTGTGGCTGGTGCTGCATCTTGTCTGTGTCTGTAGGGTTGGGGGTGGTTCAAGGGTACCCACCATTGGTTTTACAAAAGAACATGAATCCCAATGGTGGCATGTTTTCTACAGTTCATGTTTAAGCTATTTAATGTGTCTTTAGAGGTAGAACAAAGTTTCTCTAATGGATTGTTAAGAGAAGATGTATATATTAATATACAAGTATATGTATAGTGTTTACATTTGTATGTTTTATGTTTATTCTGATGATGTATAAATCATGTTTTCAAATATTTGAACTGTTCCATCGCAGTGACAGGTTGAAGACATTACATATATTATTTGGTCGTTTTAGCATATTTTGGAAAAGTTTAATTGAAATTTTTGTTCAGATTGTTATAAATTTTGTATGGTCTTAAGGAATAATGCTCAGCGTTCCATCAGTAACGTTCTGAAAAATTAATAATGTTCCAGCAGGAATGTTGATGAGATGGTTATAGTGTTACAAGCATTAATTAGTTTCTGTGAGTTCTGTGAAGGTTCCGGTATTCTTCGTAGTTACTATCTGGAACCTGCGGATCCCGCATGCTGCTTAGCTAATTCCTTCTTGCGCTTGGGCCCCATTCTCCCTTCCCCTCTTCTGTCTCTAGATGCTGGCCACCACTTTCTGTCCTTTCACAAGAGCCGTAGAAGTGGGACAGTGCAGGGCTATGTGACCGTGTTTTGCCCTTTTTACACTTAGGATAATTTCCTTGATATTATTCAGATTTCTTGTACCAATAGTTTATTCTGTGTTGCTGATGAATACTGTATAATAGTTACATCTTAATTTTCCTCTTTAAAACCCATTGAAGGAACTGAGATTAGTTTCGATTTTTATCTGTTACAGATAAAAGTTGTTTTAGGTTCTTTTGTAAAAAGTTCATTAATTAGGGATAAAAACCAGAATGTTTTTCTGGTAGTAAGGTAGTTGTGCACATTTAATAAGAAACTACCTAGTGACTTTTTGAAGTGTTGTCCACTTGACCTCCCTACCAGCATTGGGAATGACTCAGTTTCGCTGTTCTTGAAGAATGCGGTGGTGTTTAGTTTAGCACTTTCGAGCTAAGGGCTGTGAGAGTAGCGTGTTTTAGGAGAGTCTTAGCGCTTTGGTCAGAGTTTTAAGTGCAGTTTGTATTTTGAACCCAGGGTGAACGCTCTGTGCACATTTGCGGGCTCTTTCCACCCCAGCCGTGCAAACACAGCCTCGGTGTAAATGCACAGGGCACAGGGGTGTGTTCGGAGGCCTTGCCTCCCAGAGCTCTGAGTCTCTGCTGAAGCCATACAGAGGCAGGATTAGAACCTCTGCATCTGGATCATTAAAATATTTTTAGAAATATTTGGCACAAGGCGGTACTCGCCTTTTTTTTTTTTTTTGGTTTTTTTTTTTTTTTTGGTTTTTCAAGACAGGGTTTCTCTGTGGTTTTGGAGCCTGTCCTGGAACTAGCTCTTATAGACCAGGCTGGTCTCGAACCCACAGAGATCTGCCTGCCTCTGCCTCCCAAGTGCTGGGATTAAAGGCGTGCGCCACCACCGCCCGGCTTCGCCTTTTTTTTTTAAAGATTTTTTTTTTTTTATTTTTTAGTGTGTGTGTGTGTGTGCGCGCCCGCGCGTGTGAATGCGGGTGCCAGCAGAGGCATCCGATACCCAGAGCTGGAGTTACAGGCAATTGTGAGCCTTCCCCATGTGGGTGCAGAGAACCAAACTCGGGCTTCTCTGCAAGAGCAGCCAGTGCCATGATCGCTGACCTCTCTCTCCAATCAATACTTTGGTGTATTGTGCTGTTTTTGATAGTTAAGGTATTTCTATAAGTATTTTATAAGTACTTCTCATTTTTAAAAATTCCACTCTATAGTTTATTACTGTTCGTATTGTTTGGCCTTTGGGAACTGCACTAGCCTCAGACACCCGACAAATGCCATTGCCTTTTTCCCCTGGGGGCTATGAGTGGGTCTGTCCTGCTTTATTTCATGGATGACTTCTTTCCAAGTGCGGAAATCACGGTTATGTCTTAAGGAGTAAACCTTATTAATGTGGAATTCCTAAAGTGAGGTTCAGTCCTGTTGAATAGGGGTGGGCCCTACTTTGCCGGTCTCCCTTACTTCTGCATTTCGAGGGCTATCTTTTCTTACAAAGTACCTGTCCAGCCACCACAGATGAGTTCATGGCTCTGCTCTTCTCCTGCTGTCCTGGCTAGACAGCTGTCCGGCTGCTAGTCAGCTGGGAGCGACACGTTTATTTTTGTCTTGTGTGTTAACAGGTGACGGTTAAAGGATTTGAACCTTTGATTCAGTTTGCCTACACTGCCAAGCTCATCCTAAGCAAAGACAACGTGGACGAGGTGTGCAGGTGTGCGGAGTTCCTGAGCGTGCACAATATCGAGGAGTCCTGCTTCCAGTTTCTCAAGTTTAAGTTTCTGGACTCCACCGCGGAGCAGCAAGAATGTGCAAGGAAAAAATGCTTCTCCCCCCACTGTCAGAAAGCAGACTTTAAAATCTCACTTTCAGACCAGAAAGATCTAGAAATCATTGAAGCAGAGGAGTACTTGGAAAAGAAAAGTATTCAGGCCCCTCAGTGTGACCCGCAAAGGTGTCAGGGCAATGTGAAAGCATTGCCCTCTCTCCAGGACAGTGCCAGTCAGACGTGCCAGGCCATGTGCTTGGAGAAGGATGGAGCCCTGGCACTGCCATCTTTGTGTCCCAAGTACAGAAAATTCCAGAAAGCGTTTGGAACTGACAAGATTCGTACTCTAGAATGTGGCATCAAAGATGTCCATGCTGCTTCTGTCCAACCAAACGAGACATCTGAACTCGAGTGTTTGGGGGGAGCACAAGGCTTTGCAGAGTTACAAGTGATTTTAAAATGTGAAGGAGCGAAGCCAGCCATGGAGAGTGAGGAGACAAAGCGCAGAGACCCTACCCCTCAGTGCCCCGTGGCGCAGACAGAAGCGGCTCCTTTCCCTCACTGTTCTGCAGACCCTCACGGGCTCTATTCCCTGCCACTCCTACAGGCATACGACCAGTCGGGTGACTTGGGCTTTGCTGGGGTGCAAAGCAAAACAGTGAAAGCAGAGAAACCTTTGTCAGCTCCAGATGCACAGGAAGAGAAACCGTTCAGTGAAAATCAGGATTTATACCTGAAATCTGAGACGGGCCCCAAAGAAGACAGCAGCAGCCTTACTTCTGGTGATCGGAGTAGCGTGGAGAGGGAGGTGGCGGAGCACCTGGCCAAAGGCTTTTGGAGTGACATTTGCAGCACAGACTCGACTTGCCAAACGCAGTTGTCACCTGCTGCGGCCAAGGAGGGCTCAGAACAGGGCTTCTCGCAAAGGCGGTCCGAGTGTCCCTGGTTGGGTATCAGGATCAGCGAGAGCCCAGAGCCAGGCCAGCGGACTTTCACAACTCTCAGTTCCGTCAACTGCCCCTTTATAAGTACTCTGAGTTCTGAAGGCTGCTCGAGCAACTTGGAAATTGGAAACTACGATTACGTGGCAGAGCCTCCGCAGGAGCCTTGTCCGTACACTTGCGTGATCAGCCTGGGCGATGACTCTGAGTCTGACACAGAAGGTGACAGTGAGTCCTGTTCTGCCAGGGAGCAGGAATGTGAGGTGAGTGGACGTGTGCTCTCACTGCGCGCGCGGCCTAGCGGAGGGAGGGGGGGAGGGAGGGGGAGACCACGTGACAGATGCGGCGTGGTGAGCCGGATGTATGGAGTTTGAAAGACTACTGTGTGTGTGTATGTTTCACGTGGTATGCGTATAGATCATGGGGGAGACCCCCACATGGGCAGTGTAACTTTTGTAATCAGATGCCCCAGCAGGGAGAAAGGATAGCAATGTTGTCATTGGTGGTTAATGGTAACTTTTGGAAGAAAACATCATGTTCATAGCCCCAGATCGTCAAACCTGAGAACAGTCTGGTATATGAGCCGTGGTTGGCCCTGAGGAGCTGCAGGGTTCTGGCATGTAGGGACGTTTTCGTAGACCTAATTTTTCTTATACATTGCTTTTAATTATTAATTTATTTTATTTTTCTTTAGCCATTTTAGTCATTAGTTTAATGAATATCTCAATAATTCAGCTTGGTAATATGTAGCTACTGACTTAAATTAGCCACATCAAGCTTGCCCAATGCTTTTGGTGTGTATAAGTTTATATTTACTACGTAATACCTACTTTGTGTAACATTCTGCTTCAGTGATAGTAAGTAGGGACCCGTGCATTAGAAATTAAGTTTCTTTAGTTTGCAAAAGTCACTGAGGCCATCCTCACTTTGCTTTTATAAGGAATTCTTAATCACACTTCTCTTTTTGTGCGTGCCTTACTTGCTCTTTAGTCTGTGGTGGCCCGGGGTCTGTCCTTGGAAGGGTCCTAGAGCACAGAACGGTGTCAACACTCATTTCTGTATCAACAGCATTTCTCTGGAATGAAAAGTCACTGAACACCTATGTCCCATTTCCCTCCTCCCAGCCTATAGCTCGCCGTTAGCTCTCGCTATTGGTTGCCTGTTACAGTTACTGCCCATAGTAGGTGAGATAAGTAGGGCTTGCTCGCCAGAATTTGCTTGATTTTACTTAGGATAGTGTTCTTCACGTAGCAGGCTTTCTTATAAGGCTGAGTAATAATAGGTCGCAGTGTGTGTGTATGCCACGTTGTCATTATCTGCTCACCTCTGTCTGTCTTGGCCATTGTCAGTGAATGCAGAAAGACAGACGTCACTTGGGAGATCTGATTTCAGGAGACTCCGGGCCACATGGCATGCACACAGTTTTCATTTCTGCGAGAGCTTGACGGTGGCTTTCATAGCAGATTGCTGGTCCCTGCCAGCCATGTACAAAGAGCCATTTCTCCATGCCCAGTCTTCATCGTGGTCTTTCGCTTTGCAGCGAGTCGAGGGTGTTAGTCTGAAGAGGCTGCCTTTCCCTGGCTTTGGGAGGAGATGGATTGCAAAGCCAACGGGGTGCAGTCACTGGCGCCTTCAAAACAGATGAGAAAGTAGTCCAGGAAAAAGTATTCCTAACTTGTTTTCACAGTGTCTCCATTGGCAAGTGAGATGTATAGCTTTTTAAATAAGTCATATGAAGCTACATTTTTGGCAGAAGTTTTATGAAGTGCTATAGAGATGACTGGCACAATTACTCCAGTACTGCACAGTGCCATTGCAGTGTGGTGGTATTCAAAGATAAAGTGGATTTTATTACACACTAAAAATACGTTAACGTAGTAGACAGTAAAGTACATATTACCGTAGAGCAGTAGATGAATTCCTGTTTGAATGCGGTGCTGTGTGGTGGCTGTGTCTGGTTCGCTGCAGTGTTTGCCTTCTGGATGCTCTCCCAGCCAGGAGTCGTCAGCTGAACTGTCCGTTCTTACTGGGGTGGATTCTGTAGAAACTGGAAAGCAGAGGCCTTTGTTTAAGGATTTATCTTACTTAGGTGCATATCTGTTTGGCCGTGTGCCATGTGCATATGTGTGCTGGTGCCCGCAGAGAGCAGAGGGTGGGATCCCCGGAGCTGGAGTCAAAGGCAGTGGTGAGCTGCCTGACCTGACGGGCGCTGGGTGTAGAACTCAGCTCCTCTGCAAGGGCAGGGAGCACTCTGAAGCTCTGTATTGCTCCAGCCCATGGTCTTTTCATAACACGTTAAACACGTTAAACTCTGAGGAATGTGACGCGTGTCTTCATCCGTAGCTGATATGCAGTGCGTGTCTTCATCTGTAGCTGATATGCAGTGTGTGTCTTCATCTGTAGCTGATGTGCAGTGTGTGTCTTCATCTGTAGCTGATGCGCAGTGTGTGTCTTCATCTATAGTTAATGTGCAGTGTGTGTCTTCATCTGTAGCTGATGTGCAGTGTGTGTCTTTATCTGTAGTTAATGTGCAGTGTGTCTTCATCTTTAGCTGATGTGCAGTGTGTGTCTTCATCTGTAGTTAATGTGCAGTGTGTCTTCATCTTTAGCTGATGTGCAGTGTGTGTCTTCATCTGTAGTTAATGTGCAGTGTGTCTTCATCTTTAGCTGATGTGCAGTGTGTGTCTTCATCTGTAGTTAATGTGCAGTGTGTCTTCATCTTTAGCTGATGTGCAGTGTGTGTCTTCATCTGTAGCTGATGTGCAGTGTGTGTCTTCATCTGTAGTTAATGTGCAGTGTGTGTCTTCATCTTTAGCTGATGTGCAGTGTGTGTCTTCATCTGTAGTTAATGTGCAGTGTGTCTTCATCTTTAGCTGATGTGCAGTGTGTGTCTTCATCTGTAGCTGATGTGCAGTGTGTGTCTTCATCTGTAGTTAATGTGCAGTGTGTGTCTTCATCTTTAGCTGATGTGCAGTGTGTGTCTTCATCTGTAGTTAATGTGCAGTGTGTGTCTCCATCTGTAGCTGATATGCAGTGTGTGTCTTCATCTGTAGTTAATGTGCAGTGCGTGTCTTCATCTGTATCTGATGTGCAGTGTGTGTCTTCATCTTTAGCTGATGTGCAGTGTGTGTCTTCATCTGTAGCTGATGTGCAGTGTGTGCCTTCATCTGTAGTTAATGTGCAGTGCGTGTCTTCATCTGTAGCTGATGTGCAGTGTGTGTCTTCATCTGTAGCTGATGTGCAGTGCGTGTCTTCATCTGTAGTTAATGTGCAGAGTGTGTCTCCATCTGTAGCTGATGTGCAGTGTGTGTCTTCATCTGTAGTTAATGTGCAGTGCGTGTCTTCGTCTGTAACCGATGTGCAGTGCGTGTCTTCACAGTAGTCATGGTTCCTGATGTTTCTTTCACATCTCAGGTAAAACTGCCATTTAATGCTCAGCGAATAATCTCGCTCTCGCGGAATGACTTCCAGTCCCTGTTGAAGATGCACAAACTGACCCCAGAGCAGCTGGACTGTATCCACGACATCCGCAGGAGGAGTAAGAACAGAATTGCCGCGCAGCGCTGTCGCAAGAGGAAACTGGACTGTATTCAGAACCTTGAATCAGAAATCGAGAAGCTGGTAAGTGGGCGGGTTTCTCGATGTTATTAAAGCCCTGCTCTTTCATTTTACAGATAGTTATTTAAATTCTAAGGAAGGTTCAGAGTCCAAATACCATTTTAAGAGAAATGAAGATGTGCAGAAAGATTAGAAGATGTGAAACAAGGTTTCATTGACTGCTTTGGTTATGTATGCAGTCTGCATTTTTAGCATGAGATGCTGAGATGTGCAGGTGGGGAACTATTTCTGAGTTGGTTTATTAAAATGATTTTCCAATTTAATGACTCTTCTAGCTAATCCTTAGTGGTTGAATAAAGATTAAAGTAATTATACAGTTCTTTATGATGTTTGATGTCTATAAAAACTTGTTTTCCAGTTGGGTAGAACTGTGGACCTGAATTACCTGTTTGGGTTGATACCAAAACCAAGCAGATGAGCCAGTGTCTCCCTGCCAAGGGAAAAATTCTGATGTGAAGTTGTGCTTTGAATAGAAACGTATGACATGCAGCAAGATCCTCCGTGAGATGGGTACTTGCTTATCGGACCTATCTCTTCCAGCTTCAGAACATAAATTAATTGGAAGACATATTAATTTGTTCCCATTTCTAGTTTCCTCTTGTGGTTGGTGGAGGTATTGTGTGAGAGGAAGCTCCAGTCCCAGACCAGCTGAGGGCTCCATGTGGGCCAGGCCAGCAGGGCAGCAGCCTGGAGGCAATAAAACGAGTCCTCAAATACTCACTTTGTGTCTTTGCTAATCATGGGTGGAAAAAAAAAAAAAAAAAGAAGACCAGTTGTGTTTGCAACTGATCTTCAAGCTCTGGGTGAGACTAGAAACAGTATAATGGAAAATATGTGTGTATGGCTTTAACAGAAGTTGACACATAAAATTTTATTATGTATGCACTGTGCACATACTTTAGGGAAAGGGTATAGTTTAACTAAAACAATGAAGGAGAAATTGGATGAGATTGCAGAGTAACTAGAGCTCCTGGGATCACAACATTCTCACAGCTAGCGGGCCTGTGCACACATTATGAACTGTAATCTTTCGTATTAGCCCACTCCAGTGCTCATGCCTGTGAAGGATGAGTTTGTAGGGTGTTGCTTGTTGTTAGGTGCTGTGCTAGATGCTTTCACACTCTTGGGCTACGGGGAACTATTTGAGCTGGCGTAGGATTGTACTAGAGTGCTTTTTTTGCTTCCTGTATTGTTCTCTTCCCCTCAGCTGGTCAGAATTTATAGTCATCGTAGCATTTACCAGTTTTCTCACTTTCCTAAAAATAAACAAGGCTGATGAAGATTTACTCTGTTTTATACACAGCGAATGTGCTGCGCGTTTGAGTGTAGCTTGGCAGTTCTCCATTGCCTGGCTCGAAGGTCCCGTGATGCAGAAGCTGGGTTGCAAGATTCTATATCTAGGGTGATGAGGAGGACAGGAGATGCAGCCGAAGCGTGGGCGGGATAATGTTACTGACCACTTTATAGTTACAACGCTCTCTTGTGAAGAGCAAATGGATTAATGTGTCAGAAGTCCCAACAATTAACTACTGTATAGCCCTCAATAAATGCTAGTGTTTCTTGTTACGGCCATATCATCATTGGCTCATATTCAGTTTTCTTAGCCTCTGCTGGCTTCCTTCCTGCTGTCTTCTATCATCTTAGTTCACGTTCTGCTACTGTGATAAGCACCACAACCAGAAGCAACTGGGGAGGGAAGGGTTTAATTGGCTTACACTTCCACACCGCAGTCTTCTAGCAGGAGACATCAGGGCAGGCACTCAAGGTGGGAACCTGGAAGCAGGAACTGAGGAAGAGAGCTTGCAGAAGTGTTGCTTATTGACTTCCATGGCTTTGCTCAGCTACCTGCCCAGGACCACTTGCCCAGGAGTGGCACCGCCCACAGTGGGCGGGGTTCTTCCTCAGGGATCATTAATCAAGGAAGTACCTCACAGGCTGGCCTATAAGCCATTCTGTCAGAAATACGTTCTCAGCTGAGGCCTTCTTCTGGGATGACCCTAGCTTGTGCACAGCTGTGAGCTCTGGTAGGGCCTCCTCCTCTCCCTTCCTCTCAGCCCAGAAGAGCTCCTTTCCTCTGGTCAACAGAAAGATGGTTTTCCAGAGCAAGACTGGTAGTTCTCAGACCTTTTTGTGAACTCAGAAACCAAATTGGCAAGTTTCCTATTTACCTGTTGTATTGATTTGGACTCTGGCTACAAAATCCAGGAATCATCTGCAGAATGGACCGGATAATTTGCTGTGGTCGAGGCCAGAGAAAGGAGCCACGTCTCGTGACTAACGTGGAACCAGAAACTAGAACGCCTCCAGAAACCCATGAGTGGGCTGCCCCCAATTCTGAAGGGATTCAAGAGGACAAGTAGCATTTATAGTTAGCTCTAAATGTCTGGGAGGAACAAGGAGGACCGGCCTCATGAGGCTTAGATGTTCTTGTGTATGACTGGAGGACAGAGACCATAGCAGGGAGATGAGAGTCCTGCCTTTCGGAGCAGGCCAGGCAGGTCCCCGATGGGGCTGCTGTGTCCACAGCTCATTTCTGCCACTGGCCTCATTCCTAAAGCCAGCCTGAAGAGTCCTGTTGGCTTGTGTGTGGTGCAGGGCTGTGGGTGTCCGTCCCTGCACCCCACTCAGTACTACAAGCCCTAGTAGCAGAGGCAAGGGGCATGCTATAAATGTCTACCCTGCCACTGATGTTCTTCTCAGACAAAAGATGGTCAGAAGGTGTGCTTCTTAGCAAATAAGAATAAGGAAACTGCCGGAAGAAACAAGATGTAATGTTAAAGTACAGACACATGGTATACAGTGGTTTGTTAGTGCTCCACCGAAGCTGACCCTCCACACAGTGGAGAAGCTGCTGGGTTGCTGTCACCTTGCAGAGGATGAGGTGGGGGAAGGGAAGCTGCAGGAGAACGTTCGGAGGGTTCAGTGGCAGCTGCTGACTCCCAGGCTAGCAACCTGCTGTGGTGAGGAAAGAGCTTGGTGCCAAGCCTGACAGCCTGACTTTAATCTATGGGGCTCACGTGGTGGATCAGGAGAATTCTCACAAACTGCTCTCTGATCTCCACATGCGTGACGTGGCACATGACCCACCCCCCAAGTAAATACATATAATAGAAAAGTGCCCCCCTCCGAAGGCTTCCCTAACAGAGGCGAGTGTTCGTCATCCACTCATTGCAGATATGATGGAGATCATAAAGCAAGCACCCCGCCTTGCACCTGTTTCTGCAAGGCGAGCCTCGGGGGGATCCGACAGAACTGGTGCTGTTACAAGAGGGGACAGGTCCATGTGTGTCACACGGCTGAAGACCCTAGAAGGGAGAGTGTGCGGGTGTCATCGGGGACACTGATGTCGCTGATCCTTTGCAGGCTGGGCCAGTGGGTGAGACACTTGAAAAAGGAAAGGGAAATCTTCAAGAAAGGCTAAGGATGGAGAAACAACTTTGGTGCGGCTGCACAGTATTAGTATTATTTTAGGCACAGGCCTGAACTCTTTGTCTTCACTATTTTATTTTTTCTGTGTTGTAAGCTAAGTGTTATTTTAAAAGAGTCAAAAGATTTTAAAAAACTTAAGGTGTAACGTAAACAATTTATAATAAACTAAGTATATTACTGAAGAAAAACCCTAACATGCTGAAACCTTTAGTACAGCGTGAACATGCAGTTGTAAGGGCCCTGGTGTACACAGACCTGTCCCAGGTCCTTCGCTTGCTCACCCTCCCACCCAGAGAAGCGTCCAGGCCTGGAAACGCCACTGCACATGCGCCTGTGTAAGTGCACATTCTTAGTCTTTTGAACCATATCTTTACTGTGCCCGTCTCGTGCTTAGATAAGCGCAGATATGCAAACACTTGGGAGTGTGTGTTGCTGCTTGCAGCGTCAGTAAGGAACACGCTGTTCACATTTGTAGCCCAGGAGTTAACAGGCGATAGCTCAGCCCACGTGTGTTGCGGGTGGCACCATTTAGATGTTTGTACAGTGGCCCAGTTGCCTCAGAAGACATGTCTTAGAACATGTTGCTGTCGAGGACCATGCATGACTATAATCTTAAGGAGTTAGCTTGCATTTGAGGTTGGGGTACTGAGACGTCATGCCTCCCACCCCCGGTATTGAACCTGGGATCTTGTGCCTGTTCCATCCCCAGGTCTGTCTCCAGTGGGACAACATGGCTTCTCTCTGACTCTGCCTTTTTTCTCCCAGCATTTAGTTTAGTTTCCCTGCCTGGCTCTATTCTTCCCTATCAGAAGCCTAAACAGCTTCTTTATTCACCAATCAATAAAAGCAACACATACACAGAAGGACTTTCCTCACCAATAGGGATCTTTAAGCAGACCTGCAGCTTGCCTTTTTTTTTTTTTTTCTAGACTGACCAGTAAGCCTCAGCAATCCTCCTGACTCCTTCCTCTCCCCCTAGCACTGGGGAGCAGTGTATGGCCACATTTAGTTTTGGTGAGGTTTCTGGGGATTCAAACTCATGCCCTTATACTTGGGCAGCAAGCATTCTTGATCCACTGAGCCATCTCCCCAGACTCCTCTTGGATGTTCTGAATGAATGGAGTCATCTCTTACTTAGGGGGCAGGAGGAGCGTGGATATGGAGGGTGAGATAGATAGATATTTACATGAAGGTACAGGCATTATGTGATATTTGTGATCTTCGTACCATCTCTAAGCAGTGGTTCCTATTTATGGGAGGAGCCCAAATGCCCACTGTTAAAGCTAATCTTAGTTTCAAAGACCAGCATCACTTGGCATTTTGTATATTGCTGTTCAGAACGGCTTCATCTCATGTTCAATAGAAGAACTGAGACAGGAGTATGGCTGTAGCTGGGTAAAGAGAGCTCTCGTCTTCTTCCGAGGTCTTCGTTTTCATTTCTGTTAGATGCACTTCTGAGAGGTCCAAAGAAGAGAGGATACAAATGCTATAAATGTGCTTTTTCTCAGGGGTGGAAGTCAGTGCTGCTCTCGGCCCCTTGGCTCCCGTAGGTTGATTTTATGTGAAGCCTGTAATTGACAGATTCTGTATAGGAGAAAATGTCTGAATGTAGACCTAGCGTGCACACAGGATGTGTGCCTTCATTCTTGATCTGTTCTTTTTTATTATGAAGCAAACCTAGAAATCTGAACAAATTGGAGAATTACTTTGCAATATAAAAATTTATATTGTGTTTATAATAAAGGAATTCCTTTTTAAAAATCTTAGTATTTCCCAAAAATCTTCAATAATTGAATTCTTGCATAACTTTGTAGAAATATTTTTATATAAAGCTGTAATGGTACTACGTATCTAGCAAAATCCTTACTACCTTTGAACCTATGTTTGTGCCCAAAGCGACATATAAACTATGACAGTTAGAGGTTATCCTTGTGGAGTCCCCATCTCATTGCTCTCCAGCACCTAGTGGGCAGGCAGGAAGCAGAGGTGGCCCTGGTCCCTCAGACACTGGTCCCCTTGTTTCACAGGTGAAAGCTTTGGCCTTCTGCTGCCATTCATTCTCTCTCACTTTACCTGATGATTAGGTTGCCTGACTCATCGCAGATTAGTAAGCGAGATGGTTGAGTGCAAAAGAGGAGGCAGAATATGGGTGGGTGGAAGGGATGGGCTATTCTTGATGGCAACTGATGTGGGCAGAGGAGGCGGGGACAGGAAAACCTGAAAAAGTCTTGTGGCAGACATTCTTGTAGGGATTTAAAAAATCACACTAGTGAGAGCAATAAATTCATACCAACCATTTCAGTCCTTATACTCACTGTATAAGCTCTTTCCAGGCCTCTGTGCTATGCTAACATCTTCCTCCTGTTTACTTAGTCACTGTATGGATCATATAGCTGAGATTGCATATTGAAAGCATTGGCCATAATCTTGGGCTCCGCCGCATCTCAGGAAAGCAGGCATTAGCCAAATCTTACAGTGGCTAAACCAGGAACACCGCCTTGGTGTCCACACAAGGTCACGTCCACACTTCTCCACAGTTCAGATTCAGACACTCAGAGCAGGGAGCTCGTCTTAGAGTCTTGGCTAGACCCCATCCAGATTTGATAACCGGCTATACGTAGTTTCCCCCCACTTCCTGCCTTATTTGATATTTTAGTATTTTGTTTAAAACTATAAAGATGTTTAATGATGGTGCTAACTCTGCACACGATGGAGCACTCGTGTGCACATCTGTATTATCTTTCTATAGTGTGAAAAGTTAGGAATTCCAGCATAGGTCTGTCTCTAGGAGTTTTTGGATGAAGGATCATGAACTTCTGATATTTAACGTGTGTGTTCAATTTTAAATTTTACATATTCCTGGTACATGGTGCTACAGCACATGGCCTGAGGATGCTGTCGTACAAGTGCATATTATCTATTGAGGACATTCCTCTCACCCCTACCTGTTTAGTCTCCTCTGTTTCTCTAGACTGGTTTTGTTTCTGCTTTCCCTTCATATGTGATTTTTATGTGTCTATCTGAAAGTCTAGGACTTACATATGAGAGGGTACATTTGTGTTTTGAACACTGGTGTAACTCACAATACAAACTTCAGTTTGTATCCATTTTCTTGCAAATCACATGACTTCATTTTCCTTTATAGCGGGAAAAAATCCCATGGCATGCTAATGCCACATCGTCCCTTCCTCAGGTCGGACACTTTGGTTGGTCCCGTGACTTAGCTGTTGTGAAAGTGCTGTGAGACACATGAATGTGCAGGTGTCTGTGGTGAGCTGACATGCATGTGTCGTTGAGTTGATTGAGAGGAAGCATCCCGTGTGACCTTACTCAAGGATGCGGAATGTTTGATTGCCTTAGAAATGTCAGTGGACCCAATAAACACGAGCCCTTGTGTTCTCTCTCCCCTCTGCACAGCAAAGTGAAAAGGAGAGCCTGCTGAAGGAACGAGATCTCATCTTGTCGACGCTGGGTGAAACAAAGCAGAACCTGACGGGACTTTGCCAGCAAGTGTGCAAGGAAGCTGCTCTGAGTCAGGAGCAGATTCAGATCCTCGCCAAGTACTCGGCCTCAGACTGCCCGCTTTCTTTTCTAATTTCGGAGAAAGGAAAAAGTACTGATGGTGAACTTGCTTTTCCTTCAGTTTTCGGCGTGTCTGATGGGCCACCCCCCTGTGGACCAGGGAGCAGCAAGGCAGGCCAGGAACCAGGGCAGGAGTCCCAGACAACCGCGCCAACCACCGCAGCCGCCCTGGAGCAGGCCACACTGTTGGAGCCCTGTCGGCAGAGTGGCGGGATCGCAGACTTCTGCCAGCAGATGACTGACAAGTGCACTACTGATGAGTGAACCGCGAGCGTCCTCCAGCCGTGGATTTCCTACTGAAGTTTGGGCGTTGTCTTGCGAGCCGCGCATGGCCGTGTCTTCTTGCTTTCAGTAGCCTTGCTTCCCCCGGTAGCTTTCTGGAGAGGGAATTGAATTTCTCTTCTAAGGTGACCCTGAGTTCTCCTTGGTTTTCACAGAAGACATGACATGATTTACCTCTTGGATGCCGAAAAAAAATCACATGTGAAAATGTAGAGTAATAATCTCCCAGTGTTCAAAATAATTAAGATAGTGAAAACTGCAGGGTCCGCTTCAACAGCTGGCAGCATCTGCACCCAGCCCTCCTGGACTGTGGAAGCTCAGTAATCTACCTTTTGACAGAATACTGATCAGAAAGAAAAGTTCTCCCCAAGCAGTGAGGTGGCGATCTACCCAGAAGGGGCGTGTCAGCACTGAGTGTTTGTGTAGAGCTGTCACGGGGAAAAGAACTCTCACGCTCCTACCAAAGTCCAGCCCGGACTGGACCCGGTGACCTGCGGCTGCCCCGGTGGTGACCTGCGGCTGCCCCGGCAGGACTTAGTGAAGGGCCACAGCGGCCTGTGCTGGAGGCCTCCCCTCCTCAATACTGACTAAGAGTTTCTGTCTGCACCAACACTAGAGAGTTGTCATTTCCCCTGCTCTCTCCTTTGATCCTGTCTGCAGTTCCTGCCATGTCTAGGCCACTCACGGACTTCCTGTTCCCTTCTGTTCCTGTCCCTTGGAGGAAGAAATGGGAGTTAGGCTGAGTGGCCTGAGTGTTCACAAGTTGGACAGAACCACAGTTGCCACGGATCTGGAGACCACACTGCACGAGGCCATTCATCGTCTCGTTGCCGATCACCGATGCCCAAGAGGGCACTAGGATGTGTGTGTGTGTGTGTGGGGGGGGGGTATCTACGTTGACCAGAGGTGCAGCTCGCTGGCATCCTAAGGAGGAGCTGCGGTCTGTAAAAAGCTCTGTTGGAGCAAGCATGGAGCCACAGCTCTGCTGGCATTTGAAACCATAAAATTTGTGCTCAGTCCATTACGGGCTTGCACTTGAGAAGCAGATTGAACTCTGTTATCCCTGCCCCCCAATTTGGTATGGTGTAAAGGCACGTGCATCACTTTGACTTGGACATGGCCAAGTCAATCTTGTGCTTATTTTAATGTTAGTAGAAAATGAATTTATAATAATCTGAGCATCTACTCCATAACATTTTGCAGTGATTCTTGGTTGTTCTGGAATCTCACACTATAGACCTCAGCAGTAGAAACAAAGCATCATATATACAAGTTCAATATCCCTATTCAAGGAATGTGAAATGCCTTAAAATTGGAAACGTTCTGAGTACCTAGCTGATAGCAGACGTGGGGTATTCCAGTCCTGAGTTCATGAGGTGGGCCACAGGCAAAAGAGGATATTCAGAATCTTCTGAGAGCTTCTTTAGGATACATGTGTAAGGTACATGGGAACTTCATTAGGACTTTATGGGAGGGTCTTATCTTCAAGCTAACTGTAGAAGCTTCTACATTCTGTAGAAGTGGATATTTGACAAACAGGAAAAATCTGAAGTGTGAAGCACCTGTGCTCTCAAACATCTTGATAAGGGGGTCTCTCAGGACGCTCCCGGGAGTGTTTGTAGAGTTGTGCTTAAAGGAACAGTCAATAGGATGCCATCTCTCACTGACGCTCATCTTCACTGCATGCTGCGTCCAGTGAGAGCCTAGAGAGGGAAAGAGAGGGCGAGAGCACGCCAAGAGCCACCTGAGTGCGGTGTCATGTCGGTAGGTACCTAGCTGGTGCTTGCCGTGAGGAGGTACGGGACCAGCTTCAGTATGATTAGTTGTCATGATGCCCTTCTCTCCTGGGTGCAGGGAGGGAGGGAGAATAGTGTGTATTTTATCTTTGGAAGAGAAAATGAAATTGAAATTATCTTCTAGAAACTTTGAAAAGTCCCCTCTGTTTGTCTGGGAGAGAACGCTCCCAGACGAAGCATCCCATGTGACAAAGAGCTGTGTATATATGTATATGTCCCCACGCAGCTGTTTGATACTTGTAATTTTAGATTTCAACAACGTAAAATAATATGAAAACGTCTCTGGTTTACAAAGTGTAAAATCTTCTACAAGCCAATGGAGTCCTTGATTTCCTACCTCACTGTACACTCGACTGTCTGCCATCAGTGTGCACACGTCCAATTTTTTTTTTGCTTTAAATGTAACTGTAAATATTTGCTTTGGAAAGTTACTTAGCATTTCATGATAAGACCCAGTTCTCTCCTCAACGTAAAGATACTTTTTAAGACACTTCCTTTAAATTTCTTTCTACCTTTGAACGTTTAGCATTAAGGGTTAATTTTAATGGTGTTTGGTAATTGGCCAAGTGTAATAGTTCTTAAAATTTAGCATTACTTTTAACAGCCAGCATATAATACAAGTAACTACACTACCTCATTCCTGTGTGATTTTCGAGTTGTATTGGATGGACAGGAAAGATTTTACCTTTGTCTTTGGCCATGACGTGGGTAAGTTGTCTGTATATTGCATAGCATTACACATTTATGCCTATTTTAACGTGAACTTTTAGAGACTTTTTTTTTCTAAGAAAATTTGTTTTAAGGCAATATTTTTTTTTTGGGAGGGGATGCCGAAGACAAATGATAGGATCATATGTGTACACATATGCTTTTTCCTTCATGCAGAGTTTTGATGATGTTTTTCATTTGTTATTTGCATATTCCTGCAATCATTGCTCCTCGTTGTATGATCCAGCCTTCTCAATGCCTGGTGATTTCTTTTAAGTTGTCATGTCTGACTCAGTACAATTATGTCCTCTTAAATTTTTGCCCCTTATTTGACTCCTATAGCTGCAAGCACATAATTTGTTAAATTCTTATGTTCAGAATAAAAATGGATATAACTTTGGTTGTCCATCAGCAAGCATTATAACAATTTGCTGTAGCTTGATGCTTAGCCAATTTTAAGTCAGGAATTCAGCATAAATGATGTGTGGGTAGTGGAGATGGCGTGGGGACACGCACCCACGTTAACAACTTGGGACAAAAGAGAAGCAAACGGCGATGTCACAGTGAATTCTCAGGTGAACCTTTCGGTTACAAAAACATCTATTTTGAATTTGTAAATATTTTAACTGTTTTATTAAAGCATGTACTAAACTATTCTTTGACACCTGTTCGGTAGAATGAAAATTTAAAGCCATAATGGTAAAAGATGGCATACTGATTGTAAAATAAACAAATAATAATATTGATTTTTTTGTATCTTTCATAATATAATTTTTCTAACTGCAATAAAACCACTGAACTTATATATTCATGTCCTATTAAGCCCATGTTTCATTAGAAGTATACTTTATAATATTTCATTTACATTTTCTTCATAATAGGCTTGTTTATGTGTCAGATATAAATAGTAGATGCTGACGGTGGACAGATAGTTCAATAAAGTTCCTAATGCTACCTTTAATTGAACAGAGTTGTACCTTCCCCGTCTCCCTGCTCATGTGAACTTACTAATGCTAAACTTTTGATCAGTTACCAGAGCTCAGACTATGCGTTGGTAAGGGAGACGTTTTGATTAGTTGATTATCTTATGTCTGAAAAAAGACTCCCAGTGCCCTGGCATTGGAAGACACACAGGTTTTAGCCTTGTATTTGATTTACTTAATTTCAGTCTGTGAATTAGGGGCATGCAAAGGGTCCGAGGAGATTGGTTAGTCGATAAAGTGCTTGCCGTGGGCCTGAGTTCTATTCCCAGAACCCATCTAAAAAATGCCAGGCATAGCTGGGTGGTGGTGGTGCAGGCAAGCAGATCTCTTGTAGACCAAACTGGCCTTGAACTCACAGAGACAGGCTCCAAAGCTACAGAGAAACCCTGTCTCAAAAAAAAAAAAAAAAAAAAAAAAACCCAAAAAGCCAGGCATAGCCACAGGTGCTTGACCCATGTGTGCCTAACGATGGCAGCATCAAGAGAGGCAGTCTAGGCACCTGCCTGGCCTGCTTGTATAGTCCCAGGCCAGTGAGAGTCACTGTGGTATCTTGAGGAATGACATTCTATGTTATCTATGAAACCCACACATACAGGCACGCATGCACATATGTACACACAGTCCCAGATTTCTCAAAATCTGTTGCTCCGAAAAGGCCTTGAGCTGAGCTTTGAGCAGCTACCGGTGTTGAGGCCATCCAAGGGACCAATGTTAGCTTGAGATAGGTGGTTAGCATTTGAACCTATAACATTCCAGCTTCTCCTAATCAGTCTGCCTGCAGACACAGCTGCTTTCTGGGCATTCTCATTGACACCCAGGAGGAGGAAGCCACTTCTGTCAGATTCCAGTTTCAGACTCTCATGTGCTGGGCTGTGGGTGGTTGGTAGATAGTTGGTCCCTCAGAAGGCTCTGGAGTGGATCCAGCAACACACTGGTAACTAAATAATCCAGACATTCCTCGTGTCCTCCTAGCCCTGCCATCCATAATTGCTTCTCTCTCTCTGCCCCTCTCTGGCATATCAGAGATTCTGCATGGGGAGCAAGTGAATACCCACACAGGAGGATGCCCGTTAGTATGATGCACGTTAAAGACTGCAGCGATTATACTCTGCAGATGAACCAAAGTCGGTGGGGTAGAGGTTCTCATAGAAGCCTTAGCTTTGCTGCCCTGTGAAAGCTCCTAATGGAACCTAGAAAGGGTTAAGGCCAAGGCTGGATGTCTGGTGTGACCAGTGGTTCTCAGCTGTGACCCTTTAAATGCAGTTCCTCATGTTGTGACCTCCAACCATGACATTACTTCATTGCTACGCCATGAGTGTAATTTTGCTACTGTTATAAACCGCAATGTAAATATCTATGTTTTCTAGTGGTTTTACGTCACCTCTGTTGGTTACGTCACCAGGTTGGGAACCACTGGTTTAGAGTATGAGGGGTTATAACATCTCAACTGTGGTCCCACTGCCATATTTATTTGAAGTAAGCTAATTCCCAAGCTGTGAATCACTTGTCCCAGATGGAGCTAGAGTCCCTGAACTCAGTACCTAGTACTGCCCATGTAATAAGAGAATTCAGTGATATATGGGGAAAAAAAGTTCTGGTTTCTGCTTCTTAGAGATGCATTTGTTGTGGAACTCAGAACCTGTGCTCAGATTCTCTGTTGGGACTACTTAGATACAGCTTGATTTTGACTATAAGCACACTAGGAGACAGACCCAACTCCTATGCTGAGATTTACACTTGTTCCAACAGGACAGTTTGGGGGCTGAGGGGGCCTGAGCAAGCTCTCTCAGGGCTTGAGCCCACTTCCTTTAGCACAGATGTGGTCAGGCCAGGGCTGCTGGGATGTGGCCTAAAAAGGTGGCTGCCCCAGGATTGGGTGGTCTCTAAGTAGCTTTAAACAACACAAAGTCTACTAAAGAGAAGCCACTTGTATCCAAGGCTGGAATCTCCGCTGCTCACTCCTTGACTAATGTGAAGTTTAGTGTGTCCCACTGGCCTGAAATTCTCTCCTAGAAACTAGAACCTTTAAAGAGTTCTCTGCATTGGAACCCAGTTGCCTTGGGAACTGCAGAACTAGTACATATTCTTTCCATTTATACTAAGAAGTCTTCGAGCGTCGCTTTTTCTCTGAGGACTGCAGCTACAGCATCTACGCGCCTTCCCCCCACACAGAGCTTGCTGCTTGGGTGTTGCTGTGCCTTGTACAGCTGCTGGAGCTGGAGAGGACTCCCACAAGCCTGCTGCTCACATTGTAACTCGGGTCGCCTTGCACACTTTTTCCAAAGGTCTGGAGTCCACAGGGTTGGAGATGGAGGAAGGTTTCTACTAACTGCTTAAAGACCATAGGTAATAGATTCCCCAGAGAAGAAATGGCTGGCAGAAGTCAAGGCAAGGCTGATAAAATGGCATTCCCTGTTGACTTTCCTTCCTTCAGGCATTCTGTGTCTTCTGCAGAGTACTGAGCATGCCTGGTGCTGCATTCTGGTAATACCGCTTTTCCTGGCATACCTGCCGTTAGCTCCTGCACGTTACATGTTTTCCCCACACGCGGCACAGTGCTATGTTCACCTTGTATGTGTATCGTTGATAACAGTTGCTTCAGACTCAGCGTTGGGCCAGTACAATGGAACCCCCGAAGGACTCTCCTGTGAGTGACGGCCACATTTCTGCTGAGGTTCCAGTGGCTTAGGCTTAAAAGTCTCTAAATAGTCTTTTCTAAGGCCCAAGGAAGGCAGGAAGCAGTTACCACAGGAAATCACATTTGCTGGCTAAAACACTACACTATGGCAAACTTCCAGATTAATCTAGCCCAACTTCATTACCAAAGCAACCCGCATGCCTGCTCTGAGCTAGACCAGCATGCAACGGCTCACAGATGGTAGTCATACATGTTTCGGTTTTCAAACCCTGCTCCTCACACCTTCTCTCTGCAGGGCCTCTCAGATGTCTTTCATATTCCTGCTCTGGAGTTAAAGTTAGAGACAGAAAATGATGTTAGAAGGAAGACCAAATAACCTGCTTGATGGCGCAAGGAGGTGTCTAGTGGCGGGCTCCAGAATTGGGCAAACAGACATTCAGTAGTGCTTTGCTTCTTGTTGGATGGAGATAATTTCCCTGCGTTCATTTTCGCGGAGGGAAGGTTTCCTCTCGTCAGCATGGTTTTTACTGCTTCTGGTGGGAGGAACATTATTCCAAGGAGGAAAGTTACTGAGGAGACATGAGGGCTGCCAGCTTTCTTCCCTTATTCATCGGTTATCCGGGGCACTTCACCTCTCAAGGGCTGGAGTGAGGTTAAGAGGAAACTCACAGAAGACTGGAGGTCAGGGGGAGGTTATGTTACATGGAGTCATAAATCGGGAAGCTTCAAGAAGTTTGAGGGAAACAGCAGGGTACCCTCATGAGGGGTAGAGCCCAATACAAGCCCCGAACTCATCCTCCCGTCTTCTGAAAGGGGCATAGGTCCAGGTTTAAAATCAAAGTATTCGCTTCTGAGACACTACCTCCGTCTCTCTCATCTCTATTACGGATGTTGCTCTTCGGGTCTAAATGAAAAGGTGTGAACCAAGCAGAGTGCATTCCTTCATCATTTAAACATGGCTGTCTTTTCTGCGTTTACTGTTTCCAGCTTTAAGTGTGCTTTTAAATTGTTCTTAGAAAGTCAGCGCTTTCCTGAATAGTTAAGTTCCTTTCTGGACACTGGGACCCAGACAATTTTCTAGTTGCTGTCTCAATAGCATGGTGATATTCACCATGCCAAAGGAAATGCTGCTAGAATCTTGCTTTGTGGTGCAATCTTGCTTTGTGTTGATTTAAACGGTAGCTTTAAACGATGGATACAGGGTTATCCATTAGTGCCTTTAACGCAAAGTTTTCTGCAGAAGGGCACTTTTGGAAAACCTGTTTTGGCCTTGTTTGAGGTTTTTTTTTTAATCTGATGTCTACAAGCTCTCAGTACTTGAGGGGTGTCTTTCAGGGAGCCGTGGAAAGTTTACTCTGCGAGACATCTTTCCTCGAGCGCAGGAAGTCTGCTCAGACTGCTCTCTCTCAGCCTTGCTGAGGAGTAGCATGTGGGAGTGGAGCTCAGGGTGGAGCCGCGCATGGAGTTTGTGATTTTATAGGAACGAGGAGTGGAGCCCGTCGGTGCTCTGATAAGGTGGGAGATGCTGGCCAGGCAAAGCACTCAGGAGATTGTGTTCATCCGGGTCTGGTAGGGTGGACAGCTATGGCATGCTTGAAATAGAGTCAGTGTGAAGTTATGTGCTTAAGAACTCAAGGAATGACACGGGTTTAGGCAATGCTCAGGCATAACTCCAAGTCCCCATTAAATGGACTGTGAGGAATAAAAGGGCTTGGTCCTGGCCTCAAGAGATACCAGGTTCTGGAGCCTGAGTCTGGTGCTTGACAGCTGTACAGCTTAAAGAAAATGAATTTCTCTAGGACATGGTTTCCTTACATGTTCTCTATCAGTGTTGGTGGCAGGGCAGGTGATATTTCTGTGGCATGTACGGGTTATTCCTATGCCTGGCTTAGCATGTCATGGCCACCCTGAGTGTCTGGGTTCCTGATTCCATCAAACCCATTCAGGCTCTCAGTTGTCTTATTCTATGTTTCGCATTGGCGGGGGCATGCCCCTCCATCACGCGCTTGGAGATTAGGTGAGTGAAGAGGTCATTCTCTGATTTGATAAGACTCACGGAGAATGTGGGCAGTACTGTGTTTACATCTCAGCAATTCAGGCAGCTTCAAACTGAATGCTCCTGCATTAGGGGCTCCATGGTCTGCCCATCTCACGCTGCCTTAGCCATGTCCTGACACACTGGCACCTCCCCTTTTCCTCTGTTTATTGCTTGGTCTCTGATGTTGGCTTCAAATCTTGCTCATAGATCCACCCAGGGTTCAGAAGATTTTGCATTCCTTCCTTGGAGTGCCTGCCTAATCTGCAGAATACCTCAGTCATTCACGCAGAAGGACACTGT